AAAACAAAGTTGTCTGCCATCACATTCAGCGCCAGCCGCGGTCTCCAGTGGGACACTGGCTCATCCAGGGCGCTCGTCGGCTTCTTCTCCGCCTCGAGCTGCTGCTAAGTGAGGAAAACAGAAGCCAATGCTAGGACAGAAAACCGTGCCCGGGACAGCAGGGTCAGCACCCTAACCTGTGAACAGACAGCCATGCACGGGCACAACTGGGGGAGAGCCTAGCAGAGAGGGCACAGTGGCCCCAGGGCTGCCAATTCCCCCACTCTCACCAAACACCCCCAATCCTTATCAACATGGAAGCCTGGGGGTGCTGCTTTGCAACATGTGGTCACGGATCTCACCAATTCCTTTTCTGGGGTTCTCAAACTAAGTGGGCCCACTTCTCAGAAGCTGAGAGGGTGAGAGCCCCCTGACTTTGGCAGAAGACTGTGCAAGTCCAGAGCTCACACAGCCCGGTGGCTGGAAGGAGACTGAGAGGGAGATGGCTTCTGAAACCAAGCACGTGGGGCTGCCTAAAGGAGGAGACACACTGAGGACTAGGCACGGCTCTTAAACGAAGTGAAACTTCAAAGGGACACTGACTGACAGGGAAATCTTAGCTCGTTTCAGATCTGATACATCCTAGGAAACACTATGATCTTACCCATTTCCTACCTAAAGATAAAGTTTAGCAATAATTTATATTACAACTGGTTTTTCACACCTCGTCATATTTGCTACCTGGAAGGGAGGCTCCCTGCGCTACATGCTACGTACTCATCACCCCACCCACTTTTCAGGACACTGGTGAGGAGGGATGCGGGCCCCGGATGAGGGGGACACGGAGAGGGGCAGGTGCGGGATGTTCCTAAGGAGACACAGATGCAAACTGGGGAGAGGCAGGAGCAGGTGTTGGCAGGGCTTTCAAAACCACATGAACCCCGAGACACCTCTCTTTCTGTCTGGAACAATTTCACAGCCTCTTCCTGGAAAGCTGCCATCTTTCTTGTTTTGTAAACTTTTTTTCTGAGGCAGAGTCTCCCTCAGTCGCCCAGGCTGGAATGCAGTGGCGCCATCTCACCTTAAGGGTTCAAACGATTCTCCCGCCTCAGCCTCCCGAGTAGCTGGGATTACAGGCACACGCCACCACGCCCAGCTAATTTTGTATTTTTAGTAGAGACGGGGTTCGCCATGTTAGCTAGGCTAGTCTTGAACTCCTGACTTCAGGTGATCCACCCACCTCAGCCTCCCAAAGTGCTGGGATTACGGGCATGAGCCACAGCGCCCAGCCTTGTTTTATAAATTATCTCACTTTCCACTCAACACAAAGGTGGGTATCAGAATTCCCCTGCTTTATCCTTGGCCTGTGTTCATGATCACTTAAGTGACTTCCAGTTTTCATTTGCACATACACCTTTCTACAGATGTACAAACTACAACTTGTATCTCTACCTTTTCCAGCAGCTCCAGTTACGTTCTTAGAATAAACATCTAGGAATAGTCCAGTCCTACAGAATGCAGAATGAGCCCAGTTCTCATCCCCAGAGCTCCTGGTGAGAAGCTGCAGGCCAGCTCTGCAGGACCAGCGCTCCATCCCATCAGGTGCAGCAGGTGCCTCCAGACGCTGAGAGGGCCCACTCCTGAGGGACTCTGCATAGAGAATGCCAGCGACCACTTCAACTGTCCCTAATTTTAGATAAAACTTGTCTGCAAACTCATGGATATGACTCAGCTGAAAGTCAGAAATGCATGCCAGTAACATTCCAATGGCTTTACTCCCAACAAAGTCACTGGAGCCCTAGACATCGCCTGCCTGTGTGGAGACAGACACGTCCGTTCTGACGGGGCGGCACAGCCTGTTGTCAGTAACCCACAAAGACCCTCACCTGTGCATCAGACTCCCCAGTGAGCAGGTTGATTTCTTCCGGCTTGGGGACCATGTAGGTGGTCAGAGGGCTGACCAGGTGCACCTGCTTCCCGTCGTGCCACGGCAGGACCCCAGCGTGATGGAGGAAGATGTAGGCATACAGCGTCCCATTGTTTCTCGTTTTCTTTGGTACAGAAACATTAACTGTCCTGAAACAGAACAACCATTTGCACCACATACGTATTATATTCTGTCTCTAGAAACTATTCAAATACCTTTACAGAGCTGTTTCAATAAATTAATTTCAGCTCAGAAGTACTAAAAATGAAACCCACCTGCCCGGGGCTTTACGAGTCCTGGGTATGTGTGTCCTGAGAACCCGGCACAGGTGTGGGCGCCTACAGCTGAAAGCAAGAGGGCCCGCACTTCCTGCCTCCATCTCAGGAGGCTGAGAGGTCAATGACCCGCCTGAGGCTACAGGGCTGAAGCAGCCAGCTGGACACCAGCTGACCACACACACTGAATCCCAGAACTCTGAAGCGAAGGGCAGCAGCCGCGAGGGCTCCGTACGCCCGCTACTGGAGTCTCAGAAATTTAATGTGGGTAGTTTTTTTGGGTGTTGCATTTTTAAAGATAAAAAGATGATCAGCCACAAAGGACTGACTTTCAAGCCTGTCTGCCCTGACTGCGTGGCCTCCAGTGCGAGCTGAGGAAAGGCCCGGTGAGCTGCTACAACTGTAGGCCTCGGACCAGGTGCTTGGCTCTTCACCTGCACGCTAAGAGTCCGACGTCCACACTACAGCCCCGTGGAAAACCTCACATGCCACCTGTTTATGGTTACATGAGTTCTTCTTCCTCTTTATAAAAAAGTCTTTTTTTTTTTTTTTTTTTTTTTTGAGACAGTCTTGCACTGTCACCCTGGCTGAAGAGCAATGGCGCAATCTCGGCTCACTGCAAACTCCGCCTCCCAGGTTCACGCGATCCTCCTGCCTCCGCCTCCCAAGTAGCTGGGATTAAA